AGCTATCAAGCTATGACATTGCATTGAGAGTAGGCCAGGTTTGTGTTTTGCAGGTGAGATGTTCCAGGAAAGACACTGCCATGGTCCTTTGCTTGCTTCATTTTGGCTTATGTATATAAAGTGGTTCCTTTGTTTTTAACTTTTTAAATTAAAACTTTTCATTAAGCATATGTTTATTGAGTACCAGTGACATTCTAAGTGCTGATGATCAGCCTTCACTAAGGTGATAGAGTGCCTGCCTACAAGGAACTTAAAATCTAATGGAGACAGATAATAAATTAGTTATATAATGAAGAATTTCAGATGGTATTTTCAAGGAAATCAATATGGAGAGTAGTAAGGATGAACGAAGACTGTTTTGGTCTTCAGGAAATAGTTTTCTAAAGCACACAGACAGGAAACTGGCAACGGTCCATTTTAGATTAAAGATACCTCAACATGAGCTGGAGAATCATCTAGAATATAATCATATCAGGCAGTTCCCCGATTGACAAGTCCTCAGTGAACCATTGATAAATTGGACTGACCTCAGATAGCACCGTAAGTTGGAATACGGTGTGGGGAAACGCTTGCTCCTCTCTTAGCAGCCCCGAGATTGAGCTTGGAGGTCTGGCTTTGATGTGCTGAGACCCCAGAAAGCTCTGGGAATCCAAGGTTTGAGGAATTTGGAGAGTGTTGCTATTTAAATTCCTTGAGGGGGATATGCACACACGTATGTTCTTTTGATACCCTTTGAGTATCCTTGGAAGAATATATAAGGAACCAGCATCAGTCATTGGGTCCCCAAGAAGAGGTGACTGAGTGTTGGGATGAGAGGGAAGCTTCCTTTTAAAATCTTTTAATATTTAATTTTTTAAAGCAGAATATGTTTACATGGCTCACAATTTTAAAAGGTGCAAAATGGTATATGATGAAAGAGACTTACTTGGTACTGTATATTCAAGTTTTTCCCCTGGCAAATATTAGCTATTCAGGAGATGAACTAATTTTAAGGGAAGTTCTTTGGTAATAATGATTCACAGTGATTAGTTTTATCTCAGGAGGGAAGTTTTGGCTTAAGGTAAAATGAGGCTTCCTAAATACTAAAGCTGTTTGCATTAGATTGTTTCATCTAGTCAAGTAACCTACATTATTTTGGGGTAGCATTAAGGTTGTTGCTTAATAAAATGTGGTCTAAACAAAACTCGATTATTTTGGTTAAACAGAAAATCGTAAATCCTTTTACTACCAGTGACTAGCTGAGTCATCATGGACCAATTATTTAACCTCCCTTGCTTCAGTTTCCTCATCAGCAATAATTTCATACATTTATTGTAAGGATTAAGTGAAGAAGGAGCTAAATAAATGTTTAGCACTTAGTGTGAGTTGTTACCAAATGGAGTGAGGAAGCCCTCAGGAAGATAATGAACTTTAATGTATCATCCATTCAAACCAGTTCTACTCTGATGCCCACTCATTCATTCAGCAGATATCTATGGAATGTCTAATCTGTGCGTGGTGGTGTCCTCGCCCCAGGAAAACAGTGATAAGCAAACACAGGTTGCTGCCCATGTGGAGTTTATAATCTGGTGATGAAGACAGACACCAATCAGATATCACACGTGGAAAATTGCAGTTCTGCACAGTCCTTGAAGGAGAGGCATATGCTGTGAGTGTATATTAGGGAGATTTGACCGTGTTAAGGCTGTCAGAGAAGGAAGTGCTTCCCCATGGTAGTGACTTAGCTGAAATCTGAAGGATGAGCTAAATTGTCAGAGGGAAGGGAAGGAATAGCTTGTGCAAAGGCCCATTGATGGAGGAAGCAAAGGCCAGTGTGTCTGTTGTGGGCAGAGCTGGGGAATGTGTGATGGCACAGATATGTAGTCAGAGGAGACGCAAGGCCCTACTGAGAAGCTTTTTCTTTATTAGAGTTACTGTTTACCAAGGAGGGTGGGGGATGAAACCAGATGATCGTTTTGAAGTGATAGTCTGTTTGCAGTGTGGAAAATGAATTAGAGGAAAGCCAGCGTGGATGCGAGTGCACTTACTTAGAGGCTGTTGCAGTGGTCCAGGCAGGTTTTGGAAGCTTGGACCTAAATTATGGCAGAAGAAATGGAGAGAAGTGGATGGAGTGATTCCATGGATATTTAGGAAGGAATATTGGCAGGACTTGATAATGTGTTAGCTCTGGCAAGTGAGGGGAGGAGTTGTCAAGGATGGCCTTTTGGATTGTAGTTTGCATATTTTGGTGGAAGGTTGTGCCATTCACTCCGACAGGGAACAGTGGAAGAGGACATGCGTGGCGGAGGGAGAGGATTATGAACCTGCTGTGGGATTTGTTAAATCCAAGAGGGGACAGGGAGGCAGTTGGATATAGAACTCAGAGGGGTCTGGGCTGGGAATCTACATGCTTGAGCTTATTGGTGCCTGGAGCCTCAAGAGGGAGGGAACAACGAGGGAGGGAGGAAGGGAAAGCATGCTCAGGTTCCCTGAGACTTTCTAGTTAGTTCCATACTTTCTAGTTAGTTTCATCCTGGCTGACCTTCTTGTCCTGGGACAAGAAGGGGCTCTTGATACAGGACTTTGGATGAGGAGATAGAGTCCTTTTTCTAGCAGAGTCCTTGCCACTGTGCCATGTGGCAGCTGTGTGGTAGCAACCGGGCCTGAGGAAATCTTTGGGGACCAGATTCTTTCTTCTCCCACCTTCTAGCCTTTTTTCCTAGGAGGCTTGGAACTTGCCATCTAAACTAGCTGAGAGGAGTTTGGAGCCTGGAGGCTGGCTCCCGAGACCCACAGATTAGCTACATTTGTCTGGATATTATCTGCAGATAATTGGAAATTGGCTTGAACATCGGTATCAGTAAACTAATCATAACTCTCAAGCTGCCTGTTGTATTCTTTTGAAGATTTGTAAATTTCCTCCCAGTCTGTCTGTCTGTCTCTGTCTCTCTCTTTCTCTGAATTTTGGCCAGATCAGCCAAGGGTTGAAGGTAAATGCGAGGGTGAGGAGAGAGATCCAGAGAAGGAAACAGACTAGGGCCAGGCAAGTGGGCCACGTGCTGCCTGCCTGCGGGTTAGTCTGTTTATCTGTCAGCCTGTCATTAGCTTATTTACAAAAAAGACTGAAGCCCGACTTTCTTTACTGCTGGGGATTGGTGTCCTCAGTGACAGGTGATAAATAGGGACCAGTATCCATAGTTTACTGCTTCATGGCTCCAGATAAGATGCCCAGAGAAAATGCAAGTGTGGGCAACTGGGGCCCCCTCGTGGCTGGATCTGGTTCTCCACTTTTGCTCTGCTCTTCATCAGCAAGTTGGGGAGATGGCAAAAGGAAGGTTTTGCTTTCACTTAAAGCCTTTCCCTGGACTTTGCTGTTTCCGTGGATTTTGTGATGGTCCCCAGCCCCTGCTGCTCAGCTGCTGATCTCAGGCCCTCCTATGCCAAATGCAGCCTTCTTCTTGAGGTGCTGTGACAGTGAGGTGCTATGACAATCTCTTCACGTTCACTGGCGAATTCAGACTCTTTGGGCTACTTCTTAATGTACCCACCACAGAACACTGCAGTATGAAAAGCTGGTGAGAAATACGAGAAGTAGGTGTTTGTGCCTGTTGCTTGAGAATGGAATGTCTTTGGTTTTTCTGGTGTCCATTGGGTGGCACTGTGATCTTACTTTTGTTTCTATTTTTCTCTGCAGCCCAGCTCTACTCCAGGAAGTGAAAATGTGGTGCCTCGAGAGCCGCTGGTAAGTACCCACAATATATAGTATCATTTTCTAATAATTAAAATACTATGTGAGTTTAAAGAAACCTAATGGTCCTATTGTACATCAGTAGAGCCCCTTTCAAAGTAAGTGTCGTGTGGAGACTAAGCTGCCAGTGACCTGCGACTTCTGACTTCTTTTCTGGCATGTGGGGATTAGTAGCCTTAGTGAAGCCTGGTCTTTCCTGGAATGAAAAGCATCGGCCCCCGGTGGTGATGCACCCCTGTATTTGCTGTTAATCAGTAGCTGTTAGTGGGAGGCCTGAAATTTTGGAGGCCAAGCTGGAGTGGGGTTGCTGGGCCTCACCAAGCTGCTGCTTGATTGTGTGAAATAGCCATTCTGCTCCTCAGGGTGAGGGCATTTTGGGTGGCCTCTGAAGAACAGATAAGGGAGAGAGTTCGTTTCTGCCTGGCCAGTAATTAGGTTTGTGATGCTCGTTACCAGCGTTATCTGCTATTGGTAGTGAAGAGCCTACTAAGTACAGAAGCTAATTTTCTTTATGAAGTGCTTTTGCTTTGGGGTCTGAGCCAAAATGCCTGCCTGCCCACCCCATTTTCATTCTGTTTTGCATTTCAGGGCCTGTTGCAAATCCTGTTGGCTGGGTATCAAGACCTGTTGTGTACAAACCAGCTGAGTTTTATGGAGGGGCCAGCTTTAGATTTAACTTTTTAGAGCTTTTCTTTCTTTGAATGTTGATATCAAGCTGAGGGATGCGTGGCCAAGTGTTTGTTTCGGCAGGGCCTGCAGTTTCACCTGTTTTCCTTCCCTCGCCTTCTGGCAGTGGTGGGAGGAGGTGATGTGAGGTCCTTAGCTGGTATGAACAAGTCTGAATTCTAGTCTGTACTAAGGTTTCCCAAGGCAGAAGCTGAGTCGGATTTGAGTGAGCTGGACAAAGGCCAGGCCGATCCGAGCCCTGCCAGGACTGTTGGAGGGCGCACTGTTGTCATGCATGTCACCTACTGTCACCAAGTACAGTTCGCTTCCCACCACTCCCCCAGTGCCTTCCTTTCTCTCTTTTGGTATTGCCTGGGTTCTTCCTTGAGGTCTCAGTGGTGTGACAGCCAGAGGAGGCCTCTTCGCTTTGCCAGCCCCCTAGATAGGGAGCTTGTTTCCCGTTGGGCCTGCCTCCATGCTCCTCAGGTCGAAGTTGTGGTTGGTTTTGGACTGAAGTTCAAATTGCACACTCCAGTCCTCTTCAGTCCTTTACGTCCTCAGTCTCTTTTTACGTTTTTATCTTCTCATTTACCTATTGACCATCTTTTGGGGGTGTGACTGGATAAACTTTTGGGGGTTCTCTCTAGCAGTGAGCCCTGAGCAGTTGGCAGCCTCTCTGACTGTGGGTGCTTGCAGCCCTGCAGCCCCGCTGCCCCGCTGCCGTTTCTGTGCATTGCTCTTTTCCTGCTGTACTCTGCATCTGCTTGTTGGTTGGTTGTATTTTTATTTCTTTCTTTTCTGGGAGGCCCTGAGCAGTCTTCAAACCCTAGTAGCCTGCGATTGTCCAGAGTTCAGACTCATTCTCTCCAGGCCAACTCTACAATTACCTTATATTTAATTAATATTTTCCCCCTCTTTACGTACTTGCTGCATAATTGCTCAGAGGAAAGAAAACACATAGCAGCAATTCATATATATATAAAAAAACAATAATTAGAAAAAACCCCGAAATAAACTCCCATCTCATTTGGGCTGTTCCTATGAGCTGGGCAATTAGGGCCCTATTAAAAGGCAGACCCTTCCTCCTTCCCCTTTTCTTTTTTTTTTTATTAATTTTTTTATATTAAACTCCCACAGTCTCTCAGTCATGCCCTTATTGCTTTTAGCCAACTGTTTGCCGCAGCCTGATTAAATGAGGGCATCAGCTGAGTTGTGCGGTCTTGAGTGAGCTCCTTCTGCCTTTTGGGAGTGGCAATGGGAGGGTGCCAGGCAGAGGAGCCCGCTGAGGACTAGTGATGGCTTGTGTGGCGGGTCGAGGGTACAGGATGAGCGGCTATGAGCTGGCAGCTGCGGAGGAGAGTCCTTGGATGCCGGAGAAGCCGTAGGGTGGGAGCCCCCACCCACGGAAAGCCCCGCAGTACTCAGCCCGGGTAGTCACCCCTCCCCAGGGGAGGTTTCTCAGTCCGGGTGTGCTAGTTGTCTCCTGGGTGCTCAGGAGGAACAGACAATTGAAGAATAAAGCCAAGCCTCCTTCCCAAGTAATTTATATATCTTATTTGGGGAAGAAAATGCATTTGTTACACATGAAACAATTAGCAAACAGCACAAGGTTGTATATAATTTTAGCAAACAGTACAAAATTGTATATAATTTGGTGCAGAATTGCCTGGCTGGGTGTATAAGAGAGCCCTCATTCAGAGAAGGAGGAGTTCTCTGGGACTGGCGGGGTGGGTAGTTAGGGATGGTTTTTGTGAAACTTGAAGCCAGGTCTGGAGGAATAGGATATTCCAGTGTTGAGCGAACACGGTGCTCAGTTATTTTTGGTTTTGTTTTTTAACTGAGTGGAGTGCATGTTTTCCACAGACTTCCTTAATGGAAGCTGCCTGTTCTCTATACTAAAAAAGGCTAAGCATGGGATGTTGAAGGCAAATAATCTTGTTCTTTGTCTTCAGAACTAGATGATTGCTTTGGAATAATTTTTCCCTTTATTAAAAAAGTGAGTTATGACAAAAGAGGCTCTATTGAGTAGTCAGTACAGTGCAAGTGACTTTGTCAGGTGGATGTATTTGGGTGCCTGCATTACTGCTTTGCTCTGTTTGCTGGGGAAAGAGAGCCTGATTTTCATATCTGTCCTCTCTGGGCCATAAAAACTGGCTTGTGATTTTGAGCTGATACGTATAGTCTTGTAGTCTCTAATTGACACATTTGTGTGTGTAGCCATCCCTTATCTTGATTCCAGCTAACCAGTGGCACTGCACGGCACCTTCTTGCCCCTTCAGTCCTCCCCTCACAGAAAAACTAACCCAGCAACTCTGGCCACATAGGTTGGATCGTTGGCTCTATAATGTCACGATGTCCTCAGGGCTGGAGATTGGTGAACAGGCCGGTCTTGATAAAGTCTGTCCTCTGCTAGTTGAAATTCTCTGATTGTTAATGACAGAACTCTTTGCCAGAGTTCAAATGGCTGATTACTTTTTCTTTATACTTTGTCCACTGAGCTTTGCCTCCCAGGGCAAGGATTTTTGACAGCCCTCCAGAGCACTGACCTTTGTCTTCTCCCAGTCTGTTCAAAACCTGTAAATTTCCCTCAGCCCTGGGTTTTCTCATCACCTGTGTGGGCACATTCTCAGGCTCACACAGAGGCTTTGGGTGGGTCCCTGCACTGCTCCAGGAGGGTCACGTCCTGCCTGGTCGGCAGATCTTTGAGAATGGGTGGACAGTTGTCTGCATGAAGTAGTAACTTGGTTCCTGACTTGCTTGGATACAGAAACGGGTTAAGTAACCTTCTGAGAGTCCTTCTAGTCATATGAGTTTAGGCTATTTGAAGCAGCAATAAATATGGTTTCATTTACATGTCTGCTCCCTTGTTTCAATACAACACGTCCCTCAGTATTTAGCAATACTGTTGCTTACCTGCTTTATATGGTGCTTGTGGATCTGGGCTGAACTAGAATTTCAGCTTTTTGCTCTGACACCAACTTCTCTCTAATAGATGAATCTTCTGCCATTTGCTCTTCCTCTAACTTGTAGGCATAGGTTTTTTTTTCCTTCCGTTCATTTGTTTGTTTTTGTCTTTGCTTTTTGTTTCTATCCTTTACCCTGCGTCCCTCTACCAGAATAATCCCAAACTACAATTAATGTGCCTTTATAAATGATGATGGTAATTCTGTTTTATCACCTTCCCTACAGTTAAGATTTTTGAGTATGCTGAATTCTTTTTTTTTAACATTACATCCCCATGACTTATTTATTTTATAACTGGAAGTTTGTTCCTTTGACCATCTTCACCCATTCCCCACTCCCCTGAGTTCCTTTTTTTTTAAGATCCCACATCTGAAGTACAGAAGTACCGTGTATCCTCAGGTTTCTCCCTGAGGCTAAGACAGAACCTTGCCCGGGGGGTTCTACATCATGTATTTGATCTCAGCCCTTCTAGGGGAGCTCATCCACCTTACACCTGGGACACCTAAGATTTTCTCTTTGGTTTTTAAGTCAATTAACCAGAGGCTGGTAATCAAAGGCTATTAATATCTTGATGAATTCAAGGAGTTGGTCTGTGAGCTTCTCTTTGAGAATAGCTGTGGCTGGTTGTCTTTCTCCTCGAGACCGCTCGCACGGATTTCTGGCTCAGCCTCCCCTGTGTTTCTATCTTTTGTGGTTTGAGTACTTGGGTGTACTTGTCGGCCGGCTCACTATGGATAGGTGATTCTCATGTTTTTTCCCCCACTAAAACATTTCTGAAGGATGACATTCACATGCTCAACACATTTCTTTGTGTACACTCATGTACATATGTATTATGTATATATGCGTATAAGGAACCTGTAACACACATGTACTTACAAAGTTCAAAGCACTTGGTGGGAAAATAAAATTGATTTTAATTTATATTCACGTATTTTATAATCACAGGGGTAATGAGCCTAGCCACTTTCAGGAAATTACCGTTTTTCCAGGAGAAATAAATAACTATGGCAAATCTAAAATATTAAGCATTATTATTTAAAGGATCTGTAGTGGTTGATTTCTGTGGGCTGTGGCAGAGATAGGTCTGCTAAAGTGAGCTGTAATTTCCACCTCTGTTTCCCACCCAGCGTCTGTCTGGAGGCAGGTGACTGGGGATGACATTATAGGGATAATCCTAAGTCTGCTCTGTTTATTTGTAAAAAGAGTGAATCGTTTGTAGTGTTGGTACTTTACTGTTACTAGCAACACACGACAGGAGGCACCCCTCGCAGCTGCTACGGAGAAGCTGGGGACTTAATCAAGTACAAACACCCAGAGGGTAGGTCTTGGGTGCACCTCTGACGGGGCGTTGCTGTGCACCC